AGATTGTGACCGGACGGGATCTTGGTATCATGTCACCGTCCCAGTATCCTAGTTACCTCGGGCATGCGCATTCGCATTTTTCTGAGTTGGAACGCTTATGCGAGAGCGAGATTGTGACAGGATCTTGGTATCATGTCACCGTAGTTACAAACCCCAAGTAATGTACCTCTGGTGTAACGTATTGTAGAATGTTGTCTACATTTAAAGCGAGGGGAGTCGTCAATTACGCATGCGTCAGATGGCCTTAGCGTGTCATTGTTTACAAACAAGCGTCTACCCACAAGCCTTTGCGTTTTAGCGTGTGTTGTTATCGTCGCTTGGGACTCAATTCCCGCGCATTCGCAGGTGACGACCCTCCCGCTTTGAGCACTACTAGTCTTTCAGCGTCAAATAAGTGTCTGGAACGGCTGTAAACGCCTGATCTGATAATTTGTATTCACATACAGTTTATTCTAGGTTAAATAGGACCCCTGGATAATACACCCACACTGGGCAACAGATTGGCAACATTTCACATATTTCTGTCTTTCAAGTACTTTTCTGTTTACTTGTCACATACTTAGGCTACTTTGCACAGGCTGTTAGTACCAATATTATTAACATGTCTCAAAGCCTTAACATTCTGTGTAAGACCAACAGAAACTTGTGGGACGATACGTTGCGATTATGGAAATATATATAATATATTATGCAAAATTATCTGTTAAACCAGCAGCACAGTAGAACGACTTTATGTAAACTCAGATTTATTTACTAACGGAAAACCCGCTGGCAATCCGGAGACTCGATATAACACAAATTGTAAGAATGATACAGAACTGGCAGCATGCCCTTGATATACATCGATAAACTCTTGACCGTGTAAGAAAAATTAGTGGGAAAGCTTCTAATTAGATGAATATAAAAATTGAAACAAAAGAACACACTGCGATGGTTTCTACCGTGTTCGCATTTATGTTGTCGTCTCACTCCAGAATCCGTATTTTGAAACAATGTATAAGCATAGACCTTAGAAAACTTTTCTAAGGTATATGGTATAAGTCGGAATACAGTATTATTGAACTTGTATAAAACGAAATGAATAAATCGATTAACAAATATTGCATGTTTCAATTACAATGTTTCACAGATAAATGATTCAGAAATTACTCCGACAAAACTGGCATCGGCAGAAAAACTATACACAATATTTTTTCCTTCACTTAGTTTTGTGCTATTTTTTTCAATGATATGAATTCGCTGTAATTTTTGATTTCCTTTGTGTGTAATATTTTTTCTTCAAGAAATTTTTCATGAATTTTGTCAGCATTTTTTTTTCAATTCTGACATCGCCCCGAGTTTCTAATGGTCTGCCATAAAGTGTTTACCATTAGAAACGCAGGGAAGATGATAGCAAAAAAGTTTGAATCATTTTCTTCCAACAGTTTTGAGCTAGATTTCTTTAATAAAGTTAAACTTATGGTGACTAATTGTGAATCTCTAAACAATAGCCAAAAAAACAAAAACAAAACAAAACAGAAAGCGATGGAACATATTTTGAATTGATCATTACAGGAGCAGCGCACTGCAACACGGTGCATGATGGGAAGTACAAGAGGTGACACTGAGTACCAACGTCAGGTTCCGACTGAGCTGACAGAATTAGGGATGGGTGTGGATGAGAAGAGGACGCAATGGCACAACAGAGGGACACGCACGCGATGGTTGGTGTGTTTGGCGGGGTTCGTACTACAGGTGCCGTTTATGGGTATGGTGATGAGTTTCGGCGAAATGCTATTACCGTTGCTTGATACGTTCGGCGGTGGCACTGTCGGTATAAGTAAGTTGTTGCGACACAACTTCACCTCTGTAAGTCGCGCTCTCAAGGGACAAGGCGCTTCTGTAACGTCAGTGGGAGTAATGGCCGATGTTGTTTTTAATTGGCCGTCACAAAAATATTTGAGAGATGTGCCGTATTATAAATCACTAAAGACAAAACAACGAAAGCTTAGTCGTTTATGTGAACGACGTCGACACAGCTTACACGAATTACGTCATTTTGACTTCACAAAAGTGATTCGTCACTAGAGGGCGCACTTACTGGAAAGCTGTATTAAACGAGCGACTGTTCACATGATTTCAACAATATGATTCTAATAATATGACCACATGTATATACATTATTCAAGTAGTACTTTCTTTCACAGGTTGGGTCGGCTCAATTAGCTTTGGTATGGCCTACATGGGAAATCCGCTATCCTCGAAACTCACTGACATGATCGGCGCTCGCAAAGTAGCAACTTGTGGTGTACTGCTGGGGTCGTTAGGGTTACTACTGACGTCATTCGTTCAATCGCTTTGGTTGATGTTCATCACATACAGTATAATGTTCGGACTAGCCACCAATTTCACGTACAGTCCACCGCTGATATTAACTGGATATTGGTTCCCGGATAAGTACCACGTGATGGCTACTGGTTTACAGGTTGCAGGAATACCATTTGGTAAGGCTGGGAAAAAAATATCTCTGTTTCTAGTTTCCGCGCGCATCATTTTGAACTATGCGCCTCGGACGTTTTGTTTTTTAAAGCATTCCAAAATGCGCTTGTACTCGCACTTGTCTCAAATTTCCCCAATTTTAGCTCGGTATTCAAAAAAAAAAAAAAAAAAATCGCCTCGCCGCCTCATTTTACAATTTCCATGAAACGCGAAATATAATTTTTTTCCTGGCCTAACTTGAATGTTACTTGTTATTTTGTGTTAAGGGGAAAGCTTTTATTTCTGTTAGGGGGGGGGGGGGTCGGAAGAGTATAATTTTTTTGCTGAGATTTTAGCCACTTTTGTAAGACTAATCTTACCTATCAAAAAGGATCATGAATTAGAATAGTACAGGATTTTGCTATTAAAGCGAGGGAGTCGTCACCTGCACATGCGTCAGATGGCCATAGCGTGTCATTGTTTACAAACAAGCGTCTACCCATTAGCCTTTGCGCAGGTGACGACCCTCTCGCTTTAAGGCACATTCACGGTAAATCAAACATTCATGCAATTCGTTTGAGATGTTGGTAGACTTTATTTTTGCAACTGGTTTCCAATGTCACTCGCCAACGCTGCGATCATATTTTAGTGAATGTATATTGTGCAGACGCTATTTTTAACACCAATATTTGGTTGACGATTATTCATGATTTACTCGTTATCCAAAACCAAAATGACAACATATACTCATCATCTGCCTCCATATTAAAGTGCGGTGGTCGTCGCGTAGCGCATGTGCGACATTTTTGTTGATAAACATTGATTTTTCCATAATCAACTGTAAATCACAAGTGTGAGGTTTAACCTGGGCTCGACTTGCACTAATTACCACCGGTGACTCCTTCAATACCTTCCAATTACCTAAAATTACCCAATTAAAGCTTCGTAATGTCTCATTTTGTACTCGTTGATCTGCGCGACAGTCAAAGTCACCATCTTTGTTTATATGAGACCCACATATCTCGCGCATGTGTGGCGCGACAACTACCGCCCTTTAAGAACTAGGGGTACTGTTCTTACACAGGTTCGTTGGTCATGAACCCTATTTGCCAGACGTTACTACAAGCTACGGGACTCAGGACCACGTACCGTATCCTGTCAGCACTAGTCCTTATTCTCGGACTTGCCTGTTGCTTTATGCTGTCATCGCCACTACCAACATCAGAGCGCCACGAGTTCGAAGAAGGAACAGAATCAGGAGCCGAGATCCACGACAGAATGCATGCTGGGTATCATCATTGGATAGACGACATGATCAAAAGACAACCCGATGACGACTCTGAGGTTTCGTGCTGCGGTCACCTGACGAGACATCGTTGTTATCTGCAAGAAAATCTGTGGACGGATACTGTATTTATTTTATTTATGCTCGGGCAATTCGTGAAGGGCATGGGTTACGTATTCCCTTTTATTCATTTGGTGAGTAGAATGACATAACAATCATCACGTCACGTTATCGTAATCTTTAATTTGAAGACAAAGCAATCTGCCACAGTTGCTAGTGACATATTGGGTATGTCAACAGCGCCACCATGTGTTGATAACAGAGCGCCACCAACGTTAGCAATTAATTTAACTCCGGTTTCACATCATTTCATTCTCGCCGCCCGAGTTTATTTCCGCTTCAAGACTCAACGAAAGTCAACGAAGCCTGTGTAGGCTTGCCGTAAAAAAGGCCCTGAAAATAGCAAATATTTGAAATAGTGGAAAGATCACCAAAAAAGTCGCTCTCTTATTTTGTATTGTGCTATTTTTTTTATATTTATCGAAGCAAGTCTAATCACTGATAACCACTTTGATTCTTTCATTTTAGATCAATTTTATGCACAGCATGGGAATAGATCCAGCATCAGGGGCGTTTATTTTGACTGCCAAAGGAGCGGCGGACATGGTTGGCAGGGTAGTTGCTGCTTGTCTCGGCGACAAATTACCATTTGATTTGATACACGTGTATGTTGCAGCGTGTGGCGTCATGGCGCTTACCACGTACGCGTGCACCTTTGTGACGGATTTAGGCGGAATGTTTTTTTATGCTATATGTGAGTTCAGTCAACTGTTTTTAAAGTTTAACTTTAACTTTGGTCTGTTCCATAATTTGTCAAGGCAAAGAAACTGACGTTTCTTCAGTTATCTTAGAATCAATGTGGTGTTTCACTCGTATAAGCCTAGCAATGATGTTGTGATATAAAAGTATATCTATATAAAGTTACCTATTGTAAATTTGATTTGTTCACAGTCCCTCTATCATATCATCTGGGTGTAGCTTTTAAACTGACCGGTGAATGTCGAGACAATTTTACAGCATTGGTGTGTCATGTTTGCCTAAACGTTTATGAACAAAGCACCTGTGTCTTTATTGATTCATACAAAGTACTTTACGAAATAAATTATTCACACAGAGAAAAGAAATGACGAGACAGAGATTAGAGCTCAAGCACGGGTAAGGCGTGATAAACTTATTGTGAAGGACATAGGAGGGAAGAACATCTTCGCCAGCCAAGGACCATTTATTCGGCCGAAGCCTCAACATTAACCTTTGGCAGATTTCACCACGATTTACTGCATGTCGCACGCCCCCAAACGATTATATCACTTGAGCTCATTTGCATTACCCAATCAGAACTCACAATAGAAACGACATATTACTTGGTAAAATCATGGCGCTCGCACGGTAGAATAAAAAAATAACCTGTTGCTAGCTTTTTCTCTGTGAACGAACTTACTGCTGTATCTAAGGGAAATGATATTTTAGTTGCACTGAAGAACGGATCGGAAAAGTCGATATAATATTTGTTTCGACAGTTTTGTCAGTTTACTAAAACATGGTTTGCACAAATATTTAAACATTCCATAGTCTTCATTTACTTGTCCACAAACAATTTTCAATGTTGGCATAACAAATTCTGTTTCCGACTCCCAGTGAATCAGCGCAAAGCCTACACGCCGTCATTGTTTTAATCTGTGATGACCCCCGGATCGTCAAATTTTTGATACAGCAACGCTGATTGGCGCGCCAAGTTAACTGCAGTGAAATACAGCTTTTTCCAACGCGATCACGCACCAGTTCGTGAATGGCCGGTTTTAGCGAAACTATGCGATTACAATGAGTCGCTGCAGAAAGTGGTGCGAATACCAACCAGAAGCAATGAGAGAGGTACACTGGTGTATTCTGGTGAAAGCTATGAATTCCCGCACATGATCTACCGGTATATTCTCTAGTACGTCCATGATTCACCCGACTTCCCACTCAAAATTAATCTTATGATTTGGAACATTTGCGGATTGAAATCAAAACCGTGTGATGCAGATCCTCAACAACTTTGATTTCATTTGGTTCATGTTTGCACCATCTGTGGATGTTGGGATTTTAATGCTCTTACAAGTTTAATAGTAGACAGCATTGTAAATGATAATATTGCGTATATACAAGGTACACCCCTGATATAAGATATAATTTTTATTTCATGCTGCCAATACATTGTACAATTATAATAATTCTCATTTGTATTGACACTCTGTATGTAAATTTATTTTTGTTAGCACAAAGAGCTGGAGGCATGTAGTTGTCTATCAATAAATTAAATAATATAGAACAAGTCATTGAAAATGACACAGTCTCTGTTAAATTGCTGAAAGTTCTCTTTGTGCTCGTCATATTAAAGCAGAGGGGTTGTCGCGAGCGTGTCCTTGAAATTTGAGTTTCAATTGGCGTATACAATAGGTTGTTTATTTACATCAAAACACGTGTTTTGTGTAGTAGTAATATGGCCAAAAATAAAAACAGTCGTTATTCGGC